GTCACGGTGACGGGTTTTCGTGTGTGTCAGACCCCCGGCCGGTCACGGTGACGGGTTTCCGTGTGTGTCAGACCCCCGGCCGGTCACGGTGACGGGTTTTCGTGTGTGTCAGACCCCCGGCTGGTCACTGACGGGTTTCCGTGTGCCAGATGCTGACCAAAATTTTTTTTAAAAATGTAGCAACCTATTGTGATTATCATTTTAAATATTTTCCATTGAATAAAAACCCAGGGTTTGGGGCCGGGTATCAAATGTTATTGACGGGTTCAAAACAGACTGTGCGGCCCAGCCTTGTGGCTCTGAGGTGGAATAAAAGTGCTGGCACTCGATTAGCTATGGGGTGTGGGGGGCGCAGTGACTTTACAGCAAAGTATAATCCCGGTATGAAGTGCTTCCTTATTGTTTAACTCTTGCCGTGTAATGCAGTTCATTACTTCATGGATTTTTTTAATAAAAGCCAGGTGTGTGTGTGTGTGTGTGTGCGCGCGCACGAGTGTGTGTGTGTGCATGTTTGTGTGCACGGGGGCTAAATACACAAATTATCTTGTGATTTGGACAAGTGTTTGTGGTCAGTGTTAGAACAGAGACGTTCCTGTGGCTGAAGCTGTGACGTGTTTGAGGAGCTGTTGGCACTTGGTATACATGAGGAACGAAAACACGACTTTTTATAAATTATCTGTGAAATAAACTTAAGTAAAATAGTAAAATATGTTTTCTGTTTGTTTGGTGGGAGGTGGCGGGAGCTTAATGTGTGTCTCTCCAAGGGAGAAAGTGTATTCTATCCCAACAATCTATCTGGGACTTCCATGTATAGGTGGGATGGATGGAATTCTCATCTTAGTTCGGAGACTGTTAAGCAACGGTGATGGGTTTCCTCGTGTGTCAGACACCTGGTTGGCCAAAAACAAAATTAATGTGATGATGGGCTGGATGGCTGCCTCCTGCGCTGTGGATATCTTTGCTACCATCCAGGAACATTTTGTGAGTGGGGGAGCGTGTGTATGGAGGCGGAGGAGAGTATGTATTGGGGGGGGGAAGGGTGTGTGTATTGTTTGTGGGGGAGGGTGTGTGTCGGGGGAAGGGGGGAGTTATTGCAATGGGATTGCATTTTTTTTGCCTTAAATCTGGGTGCGTTTGGTAAATGTGGTGCCTTGTGGTGAAGGTAGTGCCCCCTATTGGGTGTTGGGCCACACACACCCACACAAGGAATTAAAACCCGAGTCGAATCTGATTTGCTTCCCATCCAATCCTGCTTCGCCCTGACCCCGAGACTCCCATCGGTAACTGAGGCTTCAGACTCCGTGTATTGCCCTCGGCTCTGCAACTGTCTCCCTCGAGCATGTGAGGGTTTTGCTCTCTCTCACACACTTCACTTCAACTGTGCCTTCTGTCAACTTCAATTTTTGAAATGATGAATTTGCTGCTCAGTGTTAGTGAGAGAGATTATGATCTGGGATGCACTGGCTGGAAGGCTGGTGGAAGCAGATGTGATGATAGCTTTCAAAAGGGAATTGGATAGGGACTTAAAAAGGAAAGATTTGCAGATCTAAGGGGGAAAGAGCGAAGGAGTGGGACCAGTTATTGGCATTTTCAAAGAGTCAGCACAAGCATGATGGGCCAAATGGCCTCCTTCTGTGCTGTAAGATTATAATAATAATAATAATAATCCTTGCATTTGATATAGCGCTTTTCACGTCTGGAGGACGTCCCAAAGCGCTTCACAGAACACACTGTAAAGTGAATTGACTGTATATTTGTGGGCGAACGCGGCAGCCAATTGCGCACAGCAATGTCCCACAAACAGTCGTAGATTGAAAATGACCAATGTATTATTGTTTTTTTTGGTTTTGGTTATATGAGAAGAGAAAGAGAGAGAGACCGAGGAAGCCTTGGGAATCAGCGGAGATGTTTCTGTGCCATCGAAGAAAATAATTTGTGGCTCAGAAAGACTGTTTTGATCCAGATGGTGTGGGAGGGAGCTCGTCCCACCCAGCCTCCTGCCGGACAACAAAACATTTGCCCACAAAACACACAGTCACTACACTTTACAGTGTATCCATGTCAAACGCTTTGAGACATCTCAATGTTGTGTGATAAGGTGCTATATCAAATGCAAGGATTATTATTATGATCAGTCAAAGTAAATCTTATGTGTAAAATAGTTGCTGCGTTCCTACAAAAAGCTGCTCCGGTTGGTGACGGGTCCCCAGACAGCAATATAAGCCCTGAGTCAAAAAATAGGCATTTTTACCATCCGTGTTGATATTGGGGCTAATCCCAGATCAATATTTTAATTACGGTGCATCAATACCTGACCAAACCTTAACCAACTGCGGAAGAATTAACAAACAAATGACCATTAACAAAAGCCACAGACAGTTGGGGATGACAACTACAACAAATAACATTTACACGGCCCTTTTCATGTTGGGAGGATGTCCCAAGGCGCCCGACAATTGGATTTGAACCCAAGCAGGAGGTTGGGATCAGGAGGTGTGGAGGGCAGTGACCGAAGGCGCGGCTGAAGAGGAGGGTCTTGAGAAGGGCCTTGAAGGCAGTGAGGGAGGGAGAGAGGTGAAGGGAATGTGGGATGGAGTTCCAAAGGGCGGAGGGGGGTACAGAGGCCACGTGAATTTTCATTTTTAGGCAAAATTACTTTGATTTTTTTTAAGGTAATTGTGAAATGATCAGAACATCTTTCACCAGAGAAAACAATGTTTGTGCTCAATATTATCAATATTAATAGATTTTTTTAAAAAATCAATTCCAATTATTGTCATATTTTCAGACAGCAACAGAGAGAGAGTGCGGGAGATAATAAATAAATAATAATAATCCTTGCATTTGATATTTGATATAGTGCCTTATATTGCGCTCTGAGACGCCCTCCGGCGCGGAGGGCACTGTATAAATCCAAGTTGTTGAAATGTCTCAAAGCGCTTCACAGAATATACTGTAAAGTCAGTGTTGTGACTATTTTGGAGGCGAAACGGCAGCAGATGGCGCACAGCAGTGTCCCACGAACGCTGATTGAGTGACCAAATTATTATTTTTGATTATTAAACACCAGAAGAGTAATCCGACAATCAACTCACAACCGGGAGGGGGAGGGCGAGGGGTCAGTCTCTCCCTCCGCGGAGTAACCGACTGACAAATTGCTGTGTTTTTGATTTAAAATATATTTTTATTTGATGGTAAAAAGTTGAGCTCCGTCACGGACAGGATTCGAACCTGTGCGGGGAGACCCCATTGGATTTCGAGTCCAACGCCTTAACCACTCGGCCACCGTGACTCGCGCTCACACCAACGGCGGCGGAGGCTTTGTCAGCAGCACCAGCGCGAGTGTGAGCGGGAGTGAGTGTGAGTGAGTGTGAGCGGGAGTGAGTGTGAGTGAGTGTGAGCGGGAGTGAGTGTGAGTGACTGTGAGTGAGTGAGTGCGCGGAGTGATCTGAAGCTGCGGCGCGCGCTGTTGGCGGAATGTATCAGTGGCGCTTCCGCGCCGTTACTTTGTTGCCATTACTGTAACATTCCCTGTGACGTCCTGGACTTGTCCACTCCGGAGGGGGGAGAGCCCGAGCCCCGCCCCCCCCCCCCCCCGGCAGATTGGTCCCGTCCCCATCACATGGCGGGAAACTGTGAGTTTGGCGGCGCGGGACCGGAGGTGAGTGTCACACACACAGCGTCACCCCCTCCCCCACCCCCCCCACCACACCCCATCACACACACCCTCACACACCCCCACCCCCCCCACCACACCCCCTCACACACACCCTCACACACCCCCACCCCCCCCACCACACCCCCTCACACACACCCTCACACACCCCCACCCCCCCACCACCCCCTCACACACACCCTCACACACCCCCACCCCCCACCACACCCCCTCACACACACCCTCACACACCCCCCACCCCCACAGCCACACCCCCTCACACACCCCCTCACACACACCCCACCCCCCCCACCACACACCCTCACACACACCCTCACACACCCCCACCCCCCACCACACCCCCTCACACACACCCTCACACACCCCCACCCCCCCACCACACACCCTCACACACCCCCACCCCCACCACACCCCCCACCACACCCCCTCACACACACCCTCACACCCCCCCACCACACACCCTCACACACACCCTCACACACCCCCCACCACACACCCTCACACACACCCTCACACACCCCCACCACACACCCTCACACACCCCCACCACACACCCTCACACACACCCTCACACACCCCCCACCACACACCCTCAACAACAACAACAGGATTCCATTTATAGAGCGCCTTTCACGTCGGGAGGACGTCCCGAGGCGCTGCACAGTTGGGTCAGGACCCGAGCATTGGGGGGGAATGGTCAGGGTGACGGGAGGGGAGGGAGGGGTGAGGGGAGGGAGGGGGTGAGGGGAGGGGAGGGGGTGAGGAGGGGGTAGAGAGTCGAGAGCGGAGCTGAAGGTCAAACAGAAAGGTCTTGAGACGGCTCTGAAGGAGGAAAGGGAGGAGGCGGCGAAGGCACTGGGGATGGAGTTCCAGAGCCTCGGGGCTGAGAGGCTGAAGGCCACCGATGATGGGATGGGGCCGAGACCGTGGGGCCGACTGGAATGGTCAGGTCTGTACGGAGTTAACAGGTCACAGAGGTCGGGAAGGGGCAAGGCCATGGGGGGCTTTGCGAGGACGAGGATTTTGAACTCTATCCTCTGAGGGATGGGGAGCGAGGCAATGGAGCTGGGTGGGGTGAGGGTGGGGGTGGGGTGGGGGTGAGGTTGGGGGTGAGGGTGGGGTGAGGGTGGGGGTGGGGTGAGGTTGGGGGTGAGGGTGGGGGTGAGGTTGGGGTGAGGGTGAGGGTGGGGGTGAGGGTGAGGGTGGAGGTGAGGT